AGTGATGACTCAGCCTTCAAATGTTATGTTTTGAATGAGGGGGTATAAATACTTACTCCACTCGTCCAAGGGAGGTCTCTTGCCCATTTATTCAGCTGAGAAACACCCTTGAGAGTGCAAAGGAGAGCAAGAGCCTAGTGAGGTGATTGAGATTTGAGAATCCAAGATTAAGGCCTCATTAGTGCAAGGAGAGTAGCAAGTGTGCATCCACCCTTCTCATTAGGCTTGTTGTGGTCAAGTGAGAGTTTTGTGCCTGTTACTCTTGGTGATCGCTATCACCTAGAAGGCTCGGTGGTGATTGTGAGTTTGGTGATCATCCGACGGAGCTCATGGATGACCCAACTCAAGTTGTGAGCGGTTGTGGGCGATTCACCGCGACGGAGTGTCCAAGAATCAGCTCATAGAGAGCACTTGATCCTTACACGGATCAAGGGGGAGCTACACCCTTGCGCGGCTGCTCCAACGAGGACTAGTGGGGAGTGGCGACTCTCTGATACCTCGGCAAAACATCGCCGCGTTCCTTTCTCTCTCTTTATTTTAAGCAATTACATTTGAGCAATTCATTTCTTGTCTTTACATTTCTAGAATTGCCATGCTAGAGTAAGATTGGGATTTAGGGTGCTAAATTTTTGTGCGGTAGATCAATAGAATCACATTCGAGGCAAAAGGGGTGAAGTGGGCTAAGTATAGGACTTAATTATTGCAAAGAATTTAGAATTAGTCCAATTCATCTCTTCTTGAACAACTTAATCCTTTCATGTTGTACTGTACCTCATTCGGCGAATCCCAATGTTGCCGCATGGCATCACGCAGCACCCGTGCATGGTTACATCACAATTATATTTCCCCTTCGGGACAGCAGCAACAGGGGCTAATAGCCCTGCTGGTCTCTGTTAGAGGAGTCAAGGGCCTAATGGGCGTTAGCCCATTAGGGTTAATTAGTCGCTTGCTTAGGGGCCAAGTCAGACCGCTCTATATAATGAGAGGAGATGTATCAATCTAGAATAAAGCAAGAGATTAGAAGGAAAACCCTTCTCTCTTGCCGGCCGTGGACGAAGCCCCGCGGCCGGCCTCCCCCAGCGCCCTTGCAGCCCTAGCCGTCGCCGCTGTGAACAGTACCCACGGACACTGTAGCTCCACGGTACTGTAGCACACCCTCTCATCTCCATCCCAACTGGCCACATAACAATCTGGTATCAGAGATCTCTGGTTCGATCATGTGGTTCGATCATGTCCACCTGCTGCCACCAGCGTCGGTTCCGATGTCGACCTCGCTGGCCACCTCCACCATGCCGCTGCCGGCCACCAACGCCTCAGCGCAGCTGCCTGTCCCGCAGACGTCCCAGCCGGTTCTGCCCGCAGGAACCCTGCCACTCGTTCCCGAGACCTCGCTGCCGATGGCGCGGGGGCGTCTCCCTCGGCCATGGGCGTCATGTCGAACACAGAATTGACGGCCGCGGTGCTCGACCTCGGCAAGATGGTGGCCGAGATTCATGCGTTTCTTTTGGGACCGCAAGGACCGCAGACGAACCCACCTCCGCTGCTCACGCAGCAGCAACTGCCGCCGCCACCCACGCAGCAGCAACTACCGCCGCCGCCCACGCAGCAGCACCTACCGCCGCGGGACAGCGATGGCGTCTTCTACGGGGGCGTGGATGGCATCCAGGCATCAGCGGCGCAGCTGTAGGCGGTGGCGCATTGCCTCCTAGCGCACCGGCAGGGGCGACAACACCCCATCTTCAAGCGGTGGCGGCCAGTCGTCCCTATAGCAGCAGCCTTGCAGCTCACGGAGAGGAAGGCAATTGCGCGGGCAAGTGCCTGCCAGGTGTTTGCGGCGATGCGGCTGCAGGCTGCGGTGCGTGGCCTCCTAGCGCGCCGGCAGCTGCAGAAGATGCACTCACCTATGCACGAGGCGACCTTGGCGGCGGTCGACCTCAGCATAGGGGAGCGCGACCTAGCATGGTCGGTCGACCTCGCCTGGTCAGACGGCCACCAGCAACCATGCCAACCTGCTGTTGTCTTTAGGCGCAAGCATGGTGTTTTTTTCGTGGGCGGCGAACTCCAACTCTGCGGCACCGGCGATATGGGAGCAGCTTTCCTCCTTGTCACCGGCGGGGTCGCACTGCCTAGCGCCATCGCATTCCGCCACCGTCTGCCACGAGCACGTCTCCGCTGGTTGCTGTTGCCACTAATTCTAGGTGGCCATACCCGTGCACCCCTCTCGTTCCGATGGTCTCCATGGGATCCAGGTGGCTACACACGTGCTGGTCCAGCAAGCGGAGGGTGCCCGCCGTATCTTCAGGAGTCAAAAATAAAGAGTCGTAGTCTTCTTCAGGTCAATAAAATAAGCCAAGATATAAAAGACTTATTTTTAGGTGTTAGGTTTGTGTCTAGTGATGGCATCGTTAGTGTCATCATTAGATTACAGCTCGAGGACGAGCTGCATGTCTAGGTGGAGGGTTTCCTTCTTAATTCTTGCTTGATTAGATCGATACATCTCCTCTCCTTATATAGAGAGGTTTACTTGACTCCCAAGCAAGGCTTACTTGACCCTTAAGTAAGCGACCCTTATCTCTAATTAACCCTAACACTAATGGGCTATACAGCCAACCCAGGCCCAATAGGCCCCTGAAGTACTCTAACACCGTCGCTCCCCTCGCCTCTCCCTCTCAATCCTCCAGCCACATAACAGTCTCATCCAAAAAGCACGATACACGTAGACCAAGACAAGTTTGAGGCACGTATCCCTCAACGCAAGCAGCAATGGCATGTTAACTAGGGTATACTACTTTTTACTGTTCAGGATTTGATCAAGAGAAATGATGATCTTCTCTCTTTGGTTTTTGCTAGAGCCACACCTGTTTTTGATCAAGCCATTGGCACCTCTGCAAGTAGCACTGACCCTCTATAGGGACACCATCTTGCCTCCTCTCTCCTCCAAGTAGGCATCCGAGACTACGGCCCTGTTTGGTTCCCACCTAAAATTTTTAGGAGCTAAAAGTTTTAGGAGCTTTTAGCAGTCATCTAAAACCTCTTAAAAATGTATTTGGTTCTACCTCCTAAAAGTGACTAAAAGCAATAAGTACTGTTGAACAAAGACACTTTTGCCCTTCTTCCTCCTACCCCTGCTACCCCTGCGCTCTTCCTCTTGCCTCCGCTATGATGGCCCTCGGTGGCGCGGCGCCCGCCGCCTCCCGCTACGGCGAGGTCGGCTCCACCGCAAGCGTGCGCCCCTCCGCCCGCCACACCACCAGCCGCCTGGGCGAATCTCGGGCCAGAGGAGGAACAACCCCCTGGGCGAATCGGCGATGGCGACCCACCCGGCCTCCCCGACCGCCGGAGCCGACTAGGTTTCCATCTCGGTCTCCGTCGACGACGAGCCCAACACCAGCATCGCCTTCACCTCCACCAAGGCGCAGGACCTCGCGTTGCCACTCGTCGTCGTGCAGACCCCCTTCAAGATCCAGTCCGGCCGACGGCGTCCAGGGGGAGCAGCGGGCCGCCGACGTCGGGGGAGCGGGAGGCCGGCTTGGGGCTGGGGGCGGCGGATCCGGCAGCGGGAGCCCCGGCGCTCCGGCAGGTCCAGCAGCTGGAGCCCCGGCGCCGTCGCTGCCTCCGCCGGGTTTGGGCGCGAAGGGGCGACGAATCCGGCGGGGGTAGGGTGCGGACCGGAGGCGCGAGGGAGCGGGGGCGGCACGAGGGGGAGTGGAGGAGGGAGGGAGCGGGGGCGACGCGAGGGGCGGGCCCGTGCGGCAGCAGCAGGGGGAGGGAGGGTCTGAGAGGGAGAGAGGGGTAGTGGGGGTCCAGATGGACTTTAGGAGGTTTTAGGAGGGGGTGGAGCTCCTAAAGTTTTTTACCCTTTCTGAAGTTTTTAGGAGGTTTTAGGAGAAGCTGTTTGATTCTTTAGATAAATTCTATCTAGATTTTAGCTCCTAAACTTAGTTTAGGAGGGTAACCAAACAGGGCCTACATGGCCCAGCTGGGCTAAATGCCACGCTGGTGCGTTGAGCGTGCTCTCAACACCACGGATCTTTCATATTTGATTGTTCTTTTTCTCCTGTCCTACGTTGTCAACCCATTATTCAGAGTTTTCCAACCAAATATTAGAGCCAGTTTTTTTTAGCCGTAGCTTTTGTAATTTTAACTTAAAAGCTAACTTTCTGGCTTTTGACTTTTGGTTCTTGGTTTTTTTTATATTGGCTTTTAATAAATCCGTCACTCTGAAACGATCCTTCGTCTTATCAAAAAAAAAAAAACGATCCTTCATTTGCGTGTTTGGAGCGCACTACTTCACACCATAAACAGTGAGTCATGCTGGATTTTGGTACGTACAATATGATTTTGCAACAAGGACTGCGCCGCGCCGCACTGTCCAGTGTCCACCGCATCTCGCTCGTTTGGAAGCGTCTGTCTGAGGTTCTCCAAATCCCCACCAGGCCAGCCCACCGACCGCCCGCGTCTCCCACGTCCTCCGAACCGAGCACCGCAATCCGCAAACTCGTGGTGCATGGAGCTTTCGTGTTGGGGGCGTGCCGAGGACTGTGGCGCACCCAGCCAGCCCAGCCCAGCCCAGCCACAGCCACAGCCACAGCCTGCCTCCCAAAAGCGCTGCTCGTTTCCGCACTCGTTGATAATAAAGCGGGGCGACGCAGCGAGAGCGGCCGAAAGCTAAGCTAGCCGAGCGCCGTGGCACGGCAGAACCGCAGAACGCAACAGCTAGCCGAGCACCGCACCGCGAAGCAAACGAGACGAAAAAAAAAAGCGCGAGGAGGAGGCCGCGCCTGCGAAGGAATCAGCGGCCCACCGCCCAGCCGCTGCCGCTGCCGCTGGCTGCTGCCTGCTGCCTGCCCACGGGAACGGGGATAGGTGGCTGACGGACGCATTGCGGAGCGGACTGGGACTACGGGTAAGATAATAAAAGGGACGGGCGTGGCGGGGCGCAACCACCGCCGTGCCGCCTCGGAGAGGAGGACGACAGCTCTCGCGCCGCGGCTGCCGCCATGTGGACGCCGTCGCGCGGGAGCAACGCCCGGCGCAGCGGCCACTGCCGCATCGCGGACTACCTGACGGACGACCAGACCACCACCACCGCCACCGACGCCTCCGACAACGAGTCCTACACTACCGCCTATGGGGAGGAGTTCTTCTTCGCCGCCGCCTCCGCCGGGAGCGCCGGCGGCGGCGGCATGCTGCCGGCATTCCTCGCGGACCAGGGGGACCTGGTGGAGGTCATGCTGGAGCTGGACGAGGAGTCCATGGTGGTGCGTAGCGTCACGCCCACCAGCGCCGCGCTCTACGGCGCCGCCTCCCTCCCGGCGCCGCCGCTGCCCGCGGGGTTCGGGGTGTCGCCGTCGCCGCGCCGCGCGCCGTCGGAGGGCGGCGCCGGCCGCCTGAGCCGGTGCTCGTCGACCTCGTCGCGGATACGGAAGAAGTTCGCGTGGCTGCGGTCGCCGTCGCCCTCCCAGTCCCCGTACCGCCCCACCCCCGCCGAGCTGCAGCGGGAGGCCGCCATGGCGGCGCGCGAGCGGCGGCGGGAGCAGGCGCAGCTCAACCGCTCCCGCGCCGGCGCCAGGCGCGCGCTCAAGGGCCTCCGCTTCATCAGCCGCACCACGGGCTCCGTCCAGGCCGCCGAGCTCTGGCGCCGCGTCGAGGAGCGCTTCAACGACCTCGCCCGCGAAGGGCTGCTCTCCCGCGACGACTTCGGCGAATGCATCGGTACGTCGTGCTGCTTGGCTGCAATTCACATTGTTATCCGCACATGCGAGAAAGCAGCTCGATCTAATTGCGACGTCCTTGTCTCCACACCCAACTGATGCAGGAATGGTGGACTCCAAGGAGTTCGCGGTGGGCATCTTCGACGCGCTGGCGCGGCGGCGGCGGCAGAACCTGGAGCGGATCACCAAGGAGGAGCTCTACGACTTCTGGCTCCAGATCTCCGATCAGAGCTTCGACGCGCGGCTCCAGATCTTCTTCGACATGTACTGAGCTAAATTTCAATTTCACGCGCCCCATTTCTCTTCTTTCTTTCCCCGGATCCCAAGTAACGTCAGAAATCGATCCGTCCCGACTCCCGATGCGTGCGCACCTGCACTACGCCACGCTTTGCCTCCCGCAGATTCTTGATAAGCTTCTTCTTCTCCTTCTGGTGCCGTTCTCGGCCCCAAATTCAGGGTGGACACCAACGTGGACGGGAGGATAACGAGGGAGGAAGTACAGGAGGTGACTTGTTTTACCACACTTTTCTAATCCTCTTTCTTCACTCCTCTGTGCATGATGCATCTCTGTTTCTAGCTCAGCTGCCACCCCAAAAGAGAGCAGGGCACTCAGCCCAATTTAGAACCTTCTTCTTCTTGTTGGCACCCTGCTCTGATTACCAAACCGCTGCTTCTAGTGGAGTACTACTAGTGTAGTGTCCCACACATACTACTCTTGTTTAATTAATTATTACTTCTACTAATTACTTCGGTAAAATATCCACGTGCTCGGCCGCTAATCCAGCGAATTGTTTGGCTTCGTCTCCCTCCTGCCACCGCAGCTGATCGTGCTCAGTGCGTCGGCCAACAAGCTGGCAAAGCTCAAGGAGCAGGCGGAGGAGTACGCGGCGCTCATCATGGAGGAGCTCGACCCGGAGAACCTTAGCTACATTGAGGTACGCGACGCGGGCGGTGGCGTTCTTGGCCGTCTGTCATTTTGACTAGTGGAGTTGGAGCACGTGTGCTGCCGCCGTACTGACACGTGTGCTGCCACTTCCCTGCCTCGCCAGCTGTGGCAGCTCGAGGCGCTGCTGCTCCAGCGCGACACCTACATGAACTACAGCCGCCCGCTGAGCACGGCCAGCGGAGCTCAGTGGAGCCAGAACCTCGGCGTCGGCGGCGGCACGCTGACGGTACCAGGAGGCGGAGGTGGAGGAGACGGCGGCGGCGGCGGCCGCGGCGCCGACGGCGATCACCCGCGCGAGCGTCGCCGGATGAGGTGGGGCGTGCGGAAGGCGGCGGCGCGGGTGCGCGTGGCGGCGGAGGAGAACTGGCGCCGCGCCTGGGTGCTGGTGCTGTGGTTCGCGGCCATGGCGGCGCTGTTCGTGTGGAAGTTCGTGCAGTACCGGCGCACGGCGGCGTTCCAGGTGATGGGGTACTGCCTCCCCACGGCCAAGGGCGCCGCGGAGACGCTCAAGCTCAACATGGCGCTCGTGCTCCTCCCCGTCTGCCGCAACACGCTCACGTGGCTGCGCTCCTCCTGGGCCCGCTTCTTCGTCCCCTTCGACGACAACATCACCTTCCACAAGGTAATTAAGAGCCGACTCTTACTACAGTCTACTCCATGTCCGTGCACGCATGGCCGGATGGCCCTCAGCCACTTCCGCAAAATATCGTCGAGTCCGACGTGGCGAGCCACCTACTCACGGTAGATTCGTCGCCCATGATGGTAACATTCAAGCGGTCGAGGACTGAGAGTAAGGTTTTAGTCATTTACGGTAAATAGGCCGACCGTCCGGGGGTCGGTGGTTGGTTCGGCCGTCGCCGTCGGGGACGAGGCTCGGCGGCCATGTCGTACGCGGCGGGAACGTGGCGTCAATGATTGACCGCCCACGTTGGGGTCCGAAGGGGCCGCTGCCGGCCAAGGCTGCTCCGGCCCCATGTGGTAGCTCGAGACTTTGGCTCACTATGTGTCCGGTAACGGGACCGGGCACTGTCTGTCCGTTAACGACTCCTGACCGAAGCAAAGACCATGACGTGCGTCTGCGTTCACTTTTCACTGCCGTAATTATATGCTGTGTTGCTGACTGTTTTTTTCCTGCTCTCGTCGTCAGATGATCGCGACGGCGATCGTGGTGGGGATCACGCTGCACGCGGGGAACCACCTGGCGTGCGACTTCCCGCGGGTGATCGCGGCGAGCCCGGAGGAGTACTCGCTGGTGGCCGGCGCGTTCGGCGCGGACAAGCCCACGTACGCGGGGCTCCTGTCGGGCACCGAGGGCGTCACGGGCGTGGCCATGGTGGTGCTCATGACCGTCTCCTTCACGCTGGCCACGCACCCGTTCCGCAAGGGCGAGCCCAAGCAGGGCGGCGCGGGCGCCGTGACGTCGCGGCTTCCGGCGCCGCTGAACCGGCTCACCGGCTTCAACGCCTTCTGGTACTCGCACCACCTCCTCGGCATCGTGTACGCGCTCCTGCTCGTCCACGGCTACTTCCTCTTCCTCGTCCGGAGGTGGTACGAGAAGACGGTATGTGCATCGATCTTTTGTCCTACCCTACTACTGTGATGTGATTTATTTCGGTGCATCTTTCATCTATCATGCGCTCTGTTGCATTCATTGCACGATAGTCGCTTTGTCGTGTATTTGGCTTATCAGCCAACGAACATTTTTTTTTCTCTCACACCAAACCAGCCAACGTTACTTTCAGTCATAGCTTATAAGCCAAGACAGCACAAACGAACAGGGCGAGCGAGAGGTGGCTCGGTTGTGACGTGTAGCGTAGCTTTGTGGAGGGTGACCGGTTTTCTGTTTGGCCCGTCGCGCACGTTCACGACCGCGACCCTTTTCTTGGACACGCCGTTGTCGCGGCCGGGGCTCCCTGCCGCTGTTGCTGCTTTATGTCGCCTTCTTCCAGAAACGACGCCTCGTGGCAATCTGAATTACCAGAGGAAAAGAAAAAGGGCAAAAAGCCAAAAAGGAAAGGAAAATGTGCCACGACTCCACGAGCCACGGCAGTTGGCAGGAGAGGTGCGATAGGACAGGCGGAATTCACATTCAGTGAGCAATGTCTGCGTTTCACAGCAAAGTCAATCATCTGCTCTTTGGTCATCCAGGATGGACCGCTTCGGAGAACTACTGTTACCGTGACGATGACACTCTAGATTGTAGTAGGTGCGCGTCTGCGTGCGTGAAGGGCGGAGGGCCGTGGGACGTGGGGTACAGCCGTAAGTCGATGCCTACTTGAGGGGTGCTGGTGTCGGTGCCGCCGGAGCCATGCTTGCCAGCCCAGACCTGCTCTGAGCCTCCGCCCCGGTCGAGATCGTCAAGGGAAACGACGCGTCCGGCGGTCCGGGTCGGCTACGTCCGGCTAGGCTCTTAAAGAGGTTGACAGGGCAGACGAGGATAGTCTAGTCGGATAGATACGAATACAGTAGCGGTGGCGGCAGCAGTCGTCGCTGTGAGCTGTCGCGGACTCGCGGGGCACGCGGGCACTGGGCAGGTGGTGAGGTGCTCCACCGCTCAGTGCCGGGTGCCACCGCGCGGTACTGACGTGACGTGTGGAGCGGTGGCAGTCGCCGTAGTGCTCGGCGTCTTGGGATCGGCAGATCCATGGACGGATCGAACAACTGCGCCACGCTCCCATGCTTGGCATGGATCCTGTCAGCTCAGCTCAGGAGTGGGCTACCATACCAGGTCGGGGCCGCTCTGCCCAGCCGGCTCTTAAAAATCATGGTGTCTTTATTAAGGCCAGGCCAATTACATCATTTTCGGCAGAGGACTACTACGGCCAATTATATAAGCTCAGCTTCCTTTCTTTTTCTTTTGACTAGGTCCGGTACGGTTGTATGCCTACACGTATGAGTGTTTATGATGGTCCTACACTTGTTGGTGGATCTGGCTAGAGTGTTGTTGATCAGGCCACTTTACAGGGCACTTTCGTTTGGATCTTTGCGCTGAAATAGGTGGGGATTGCGCTAAGACTAACCATCGACGTAGATGGACCTTATTAGTGGTATCAATGGCCACGAATGCCCCCCTGCGCTTTACAGGATGGAAGCACTGTTTTCGCAGTACGCGAAATAAAACCCCCATCTGCTACACATCTACAAACTCGAATCCATCCATTCATCGCTGGATAATGAATCCATCCTTCCATTCCGATCCATCCTAAAGCCTAGCAGCCTTACCCCACTTCCCCACGAGGGGCTGTAGGCTGTTACATTACACTCATGTCGCTTTTACCACACTCACCACACCACGCGACACCCCGAATCTGCAAGCGACGGGCGTCGTCGCATCGCATGCCTTCGCCTTTAAGCTTCCTGTGATGTGATGAGGTATGCGCAGGAAGCTTCTCCTTTGCGCTCCATTTATTCTTGGTGGCGGCAGTATACCAGCCGGCGCATCTTTTTTCCCCCTTTCTTTCGTCCCACATTTAATTCGCGACTGGAGTAGAGACGACATATCGATCAGCGGCGCAGCAACCGGCTCGTTTTGACCCAAACCCACATGGCCACCGCCCACCGGCATATCATAGTATAATGCACGGCCGTTCGCTGGGCCTTGTCTAGATTACCTCTAAATTCAAGTTTTTTCACTCTCTCTGTCATATTAAATTTTGGACATATATATGGAGCATTAAATATAGGTAAAAAAATAACTAATTACACAGTTTTGTTGTAAATCACGAGACGAATCTTTTGAGCCTAGTTAGTCCATAATCGGACAAAGTTTGTCAAATACAAACGAAACGTGCTACAGTGTCCAGATTGCACAAATTTGGAATCTAAACAAGGCCCTACAACTACTGCCCCCGGCCGGCGGCAGCAGGCGACGCGACGACCCGACCGCTTGCTTTCTCCGCTTCCACATTTGCCCCATGAACTCGTCACTCACACTCTTAACAGTTTTGTATACATGTGTAAATTTGGCATGGCGTGACTTGGTGATGCCCGCCCCCGTCTCAACAAACCTCCAGATGAATGGTGTGACCTGCACTTTAACAAATGCATGCTACTAATAAGTGGAAACGCCTTGGGTCCCGTCCCTTGCCACAGGTAGGCCGGCAGTGTGGAGGCAGCACAATGCTGTCCAACGATCGCGGTGTCATCTGGGGGGCAAGGTCGCAGGAGGCCTGAGTTGTAAAGGGACCATGGCATGGGGACGGGATGACGAGGGAGGGGTGGTGCCGACGGCATCTCATTCTCGGTCTTGGGATCGAATCCGATTAAAGCTCCTGTCTATAGTCTAGTCTTACTGTGCTAGTGAAAGGCAAAAGAGAAACAACTCAAGACGGAAAGAGAGAGAGAGAGAGAGAGAGAGAGAGTAGCCTTGTACTAGCTAGGCGCCACTCGCCCCTACAAACTTGCCGGCCGTGTGTGACCATGCGTGGAACTTCCCGTGCAGTTCAGTTTAGATTGCCTGCGTGACACGGGGTTTACCCTGCTCGCTGTCGCTGGTTATCTTTTCACCTTGGCATGGCGCTGTAGTGGGAACCTTGTGATTGCGAGAGGTGCCGGTCAGGAGTCAGGACCACCTTTGCGTTCATGGGGAAATGCCGGGGGTCCTCTGATGCATCTAGCAATTCGCAATTGCTTTTCCATAGGCGGAATTGGTTATTATAGCTTAGAGGCGTTGGATTCTGTTTGTTCTGGGGTCGCAGGTGCGGTAGGTTCGGCGGACGGTAATGTTGATATCAGGCAGAATGGTAGATATATAGTATACTATAGTGCTCTACTGAGTCATCCGAAAAGAATGCCTTTTGGGATCTTGTTGATTAGTATATGTTTTCTCCCTGGATTTCAATTATTCTGAATTTGACAAGCATCTCTCAAGAAAGGCAGGAACTGTAGTTTCTAAAAAAAAGACAGACCCAGTGCCGGAGACTCCTACATGAGTGGGGCCTGGGGAAGAGAAAAACCAAGGCAAGCCTTCCCTCGCAAATCTACGAAGAGGTGGCTTTGAACCCACGACTTAGTGCCTCAGTAAGACAGCTCTCACCACTGCACCAGACATGTCCTTCTAGGAAGTGCAGTTTCTAAACAATTTATTTGATTTGCTTGATATACTATGCCATTTGCAATCGCACAACCCAGAAGGTTCAGATGTCAGAAAGTACACTCCACTACAGTGTCCAGGACAATGCCCGGTCCGGTAGTTAGAGCTATCCTGGACTACAGCACAAGTCTGAATATTTATTGATCTAGAAACTGTCCACTAGTATATGCATGGGGATAGACGATTCAAGTGACACTGTGCCGCGTCGCGGGAATCTGACAGCTGCCAAGCTGAGTGGTTCCCCTTGCTATTTTAGTTCGTATTGTTTATCTCATCTTCTGTGGAACAATGCCATGTGGTAATTTCTCCTCACAAGCATTCCAGCGGTGCTGTTTGCCTGCCATGACTTTTGCACGCCCTTTAATCATTTCAGCAGCTCTTTGTTCACAGGCTGATGTTGAGTTTAAACACATATTTTTTAATACGCTAATAATACTGAACTCATGGCGGTTTCAGACATGGATGTACATTTCTGTCCCACTGGTGTTCTACGTTGGTGAAAGGATGCTTAGAGCCTTGAGGTCAAATGCTTATACCGTAAAAATTGTCAAGGTGAGTACTACTGGTGGTAACTGCAATGGCAAATTCATGTAGCTTGCAAGTGTCAATCTTTTTTAATCTGTACCCCTAGTACTACTAGTTGGCTATCTCCACATGTTGATTACTTAATATTTGAGACTAGAACGGTTCCTTGATAACTTGCACAAATTGCACTCAAAGAAGAACAACAACTTGCGCAGATTCAGTAATTAGAGATCCATTATAAGTTCAGATTCCATGTAATTTGATACAATATTTTAGCTTCGATGCACATTTTTTTTCTTCCAAAAAAAGGGGATGTGTATGTGGACAGGAGCAATGGAGAATGTTGTGGCCTAGTCATGCTGCCACTACTAGGACATCCACAAAAGAATATAGGTCCTGGAACATTTCTGTCCTTCAGAAATTGCCTGTCGCTCTCTAATGATTTGCATGTCTCGAAGGTCCATGCTTTTGGTTGATTGTTTATTACTTTATTCTTTACTGGGTGCTCTTCTGCCAAATCACAACATCAAATACATACGTGTAATTACTGGTTTTAACATCTAAAGGACTTCCCTCATGCTAAGCAGTTTGATAGACGTGTTTATGTCTTTCTTTTTTCAACATACATTAGATCTGAATGCAATAATCATCTAAGTATTAGGTGCTGCAGTAACCATAACAAAGTGTCAAATCAAGAAAGAAGCATGTGCATACAGAAACTATACATTTAACGTATACGAAATGACAGAACTTTTTTTGCCAAAATTAAATCAATCGATGGATATTTTATTATGCAAATTTCATTACTGCAGGTGTGTCTTCTACCTGGAAATGTATTGACCATAACAATGTCAAAGCCCTACGGATTTCGGTACAGAAGTGGACAGTACATATTTCTTCAATGTCCAATGATTTCTCCATTTGAATGGTTTGTATGGCTCTTGATTTGAATCTCCTCGATCTACTCTTAGTTTCCGGTTAATTTAGCAGTCACCTGCTGCTGCTTTGTGCTTGCAGGCACCCTTTCTCCATCACTTCGGCACCTGGAGATGACTACCTCAGTGTTCACATCCGAACAAATGGAGATTGGACACAAGAGCTCAAGTGCATATTTGTGGACAACTACTTCTCACCACATCTTAACAGAAGAGCTTCATTCAGCGAGCTAGGTGCGGCAGAACCAAGAAGGTCCATCAATCTCTTTTTCCCATGGCTGCTTCTTTACATACCTAAATAGAACTGAAACTGAACGTGTTCGTTTTCTGTTCCACAGCTTGCCAAAATTACTTGTAGATGGTCCATATGGTGCCCCTGCACAGGATTTTAGAAACTACGATGTTCTACTTCTTGTCGGCCTCGGAATCGGGGCAACACCATTCATAAGCATTCTAAGGGATCTGCTTAATAACATTAAGATAGCTGACGAATTGATGGTACTGCTTTATCTTAATTTGTTCTCGTTTTAACCTTTTTCTGCAGATATGTGAATTCCCACTTATAGCTTACATATCCTTTTTCTTTTTTTGCGATTATTAGGACTTGGCAATGGAGACTAGCAGGTCTGAAGACAGCGCCAACAGCTTTAGTGTCTCAACAGCTAGCAGCAACCGGAAGAGAGCATACAGAACAAGCCGTGCACATTTTTACTGGGTCACCCGAGAAGCCGGATCATTTGAATGGTTCAAAGGGGTGATGAATGAGGTTGCAGAAATGGACAAGAAGGTAGAATTTGCTTCATGCCACATTGCCATCCATCTTGATGTCTGATCGCCCCTTCAGTTTACAATATGCCCACAATATTTTCTATACTGACACTGAACTCGTTGAAACCAGGGTGTCATAGAGCTGCACAATTACCTCACAAGTGTTTACGAGGAACGCGATGCGCGGACAACTCTGCTGTCCATGGTGCAGGCTCTGAACCATGCCAAGCACGGCGTCGACATCGTATCAGGAACCAGGGTATGCCAAATTCTCTGAAACTAGTAGCACAAGATTATGTCCAAAGATCCTCTTTCTGTTATTGCAAGTATAAATTTTTGAACGAACACTGCAAGTATAAATTAAAATTGAGCATTTTATGTGCACTCGGCAGGTGAGGACACATTTCGCCAGACCCAATTGGAAGGAAGTCTTCACCAGGATCGCCTCCAAGCATCCGAATTCAACAGTTGGTAAACAATCTGCTCAACCAACTCTAAAATATTTCCTCAAAATCCACAAGAATGCTTCTGATGCTACTCAAATTCCACAAGAATGCTTCTGATGCTATACCATGCCTGCAGGTGTGTTCTACTGCGGCGCACCGACGCTTGCCAAAGAGCTGAAGACTCTGTCGCACGAGATGAACCACAAGACGGGCACTCGCTTCCATTTCCACAAGGAGTACTTTTGAATTTGGGACACAGAGAATGGGCACTCGATGCTCGTTCTCATGTGGTCTGATCTGATCTCGATAGCGTTAGGTACCGGTAAAGAAGACGGGGAAAATTTTGCACAGATGCAAGACAAAACCAAGCTGACCTCCTCCTGATCTGGAACTGTACATAGCATAAAAGAACAGAAGCACAGGGTTAGTTTAGTACGTAGCACAATTCAAATATATATTCGGCCTGTTCGCTGATTGGTTTCTAGGTTGATAAGTTCGGCTGATGCTGGTTTGTTGTGAGAGAAAAACACTGTTGGCTGGCTGATAAGCCCTGACTGAAACCAACAAGCGAACAGGCTGATTGACAAAGAAAAGAGAGAGAAAGGGCAGGATAGAGGCTGTTGACTCGAATATATTGATGATAGACATGGCATACGTGTACACAGTTATAGTTAGGTACAGTACTATAGGTAGTAGTTACATATGAATCAATGAATATACGAGGAGCCACATGCTGCCATTCTGAAGTCTGGACGTGCACTCTTCAGGCGTGTTCGTGACTGTTCCTGAGGCTGTTTGGCTGGTGGTTGCCCATGTGAGGAGTTGTTAAACGATCCATGCCGTAGCCTGAAGGCAAGGCAAGTTGGAGGACAGGAGGAGACGTCAGACGTGCTCTGCCATGTGAATCTTCCCCGCCCGTGACGCGTGTGAGCGTCCACGTCTCTGCGGCCGAGCCGATTCCAGGCAGCCTGTTCGCTTGCTCGTAAACGATCGTAAATTTTCAGCTGAGAACAGTGTTTTTCTCTCACACCAAACTAGCCAGCAGTAAATAATCCACGATAGATACGGCCTCCCGAACAGTGGCCACCGACGACCACCGACGGTTTCGCTTCGGCATGGGTTTGGCAAGTCATCGCGGTGGAAGTTGGAAGCTCCCCGTGCTCGTCCTGTGGCCTTGGTGCGAATCCGTGGGTGGTGCGGCGCTCGCGCGCGCGGTCTCGCATCGCACCGAGGGTTCCAGGTAATTTTGCAATGCGTTGGGCCTGGCGTCAGTCAAGGGCCAGCTGGGATCGCTTGGACGGGTTCAGCCTGTGCCGGATCGGATTGACCGTAGACCGAAGCCGCTGGACTCAAAGCCCATCATCAGCATCATTACCAAGGCAGGCAGGGCCACACACGCTCTGGACCGCCACACTAGGCCATGCAACATGGCCCAAGGAAAGGCGTGGGCATCTGGGCTGTTTGTTCGAGCCTACACTAGCATCGTCGACATCGCGACGTGACGCGAGGCGTCACTCCAGGCTCCAAACCGAGCAACGAGCGAACGTTGCTCTGCAAGACGTCGACATCAAGCGCGCGGGACTCCATGCCGGACCGGCGGAGCGGCGGAGCCGCATCAAGAGCTCAACTTGTCCACCGATTGGCGGATGGGCGACGCGGGGTGAGAGCGACTCCGCTGTTGAACTGCGCCTCTCTTTGCTGCTGAGAAATCTGCAGAATTGCAAATGCTCTGATACAGAGATATGAGAGCTGCGGGGCTGCCTGCCCGACACCACAATAATGGGCTTGGCCGCTTGGCTTCACTACTGTACCGAGGAAGATTCATTGTCGATGGACATCACATCGTCAGTTCATCACCAACTCCGATCCTGCCAATCTGATACCCGGCCTGCAGTTGCAAGATTTTGCCGTTCTGTGCTCGCAACAGGAGGTTCGGGAAACGAAGTTCTCCGCGCCAGGTTTTATTTCGTCCTTGATGATGGGTGTTACAGAATGTCAAAGTCTGGGCATTGTGACAAGCTGGTGATGCGTACGGTGGATTGATCTGATCATGCAGTGAACGTGATCCCATCCCAATCAACGAACAACTGCGCGATGTGAGCTCGTGTGGTCTTGCCCTCTGATTCTCTGAATCTCAAAGATGCCTCCGTCTCCACCGGAATAAACCCGACTTTGAATGGCCATCAAGTACAATTCACCTACTACCATGTAGCATCAACTGAACACGCCACACTTTGTTAAAGTTAGACATAGCAAGGTTTGTTACCAACCAAAGAGGCTAAACTTTAAACTATGATCTCGCACGTCTAATCTTTTTGAGACCAGCGAGCAACCAGATTCGAGTACACGATTGCACAAGAGCCCTTTGCCCTGGCTATAACTTATGACAATCTTATGGCCAAAATCGTCATATCCTCCCCACACTACCCACATATAAATCAGAATATACAAGCATTATAACCACACTACCTCCTATAATGACAGTTGCAATTCCAATCCTGCCCTTCTCCCCCTCCCCCTCGGCGACGCCGTCAGGTCGCCGTACCACAGCCTCACGACGCTACCGTCAAGAGCTGCCATGTCGATGTGGCGGTACCAACCCAGGTCACTCCTCCGCCTCACCGCCAACTCCCTCTCTTCATCCCACGGCGCCGTGGCCAAGGTCGTCGCTCTTCTCCTCCCCGTCGGCTCTGACACCATCCTTCTGAGAACCACCTCAACCTCGCTGTCGCTGTCGCGGTCGCCGCGCGCGCTGTCGCCGTCGTCGTCATCAGCATCCGCGTCCGCGCATTTCCTAACGCCGTCCACGACTCCGTCTTCGTCTCCTGAGCCGCCGTAGTACGCAGTGAACCGGACCTTGGATGGCGTGCTCGGCTCGCTTACGGACGACGGCTCGGCCGGAGCGAGAGCAACGACCGGCCGCCGCTGCTCGTCAACAATGGCAGCCCGAGAGGGCGGAAGAGGCGCCTGTGGCTCCTGATTATCGTCGTCGACGAGGGCGCTGACGCTGCGAACGCCGGTGGCGCTGGGATTGGAGTTGGAAGCGCCGCTGACGGCGCGGATGCGCCAGAGGCCGACGGCGGCGGCGAGGGCGGCGACGAGCCAGGCGCAGAGCGAGCCGGCGGCCGCGGCCGCCGCGGGGAGGGAGTAGAGGCGGAGCGCAATGGCCTCCGCGGGCACCATGCCGAGGAGCTCCATTATGTGGTTGTGGTGGTGGTGGGGAGGTCACGGCGGTTGTTGAAGAGGTGGGGGATGGTGTTGGTGCGGTGAGGAATGGAAGAAGATGGGTTTGGGTGGGAAGCGTATATATAAGTGGGCGTGTGGCGGAGTGGGAACGAATATGCACTGGTGTCTTGTCAAAAAAAATGCACTGGTGAACTGCCTGGAATTTTTGCAAGTTTCACCTGCACAACTGAGCATTTTGAAATTTTGTGTTTGGGTGCAGTATAAGCTGCATTTTGCAATTATTCAGCTTCCAATTTTTAGATGAACCATTTAGTTCCAAGTATATATGATTGAGTCTTTTGTGGAGTTGAGCTAGTGCACCTATTCCATTCATCTTTAATTTGTACGTACTGTATATTGGAGCAGAGGCAGAGTATCGCTCAGACTGTAATACGGTAATACCCATTTCCTCAACTGAAATGGAACAAGCGTCGAGGCACTCGCATGTAAAAAGACAAGCTGCGGTTAGTTTGCTGCCAAACGGGAGTAACAGTGCTGGCAACAACGGCATCAGTTGGGATCTAACCAGGAGATGCTGGGAATCGAGCTCGGGAGATGCTGGCTGAGAATTGAGATGCCATTTCTCCAGCTGGGAATGGGAAGAAATGCGGGGGCGCCGCCGCCAGCGTGAGAGCGCCCTTCTCCACTCGTGGGGAAACGCGTGGGGACGCGTGGGCGCCACCGATTGGATCTCGTGGGCCTCGTGAGACCTACTTCGTGGCTTGGATTAGACGACCTGGCCTGATATCCTGATGCGTGGTACGTGTGGCTTGTGACTAAAGATGGCAACGGGCTCCGATACCCGATACCCGACGGGTATTTGATTCATTAAGGAATGGGAATGGAATCATATCTTTACCCGTGGGCATCTAAATGGGTAAGAATCCATCCCCGACGGGTATAGCGGGTACGGGAACGTTCTTTGTTTACCCGTCCCCGTTACCCATTGGGGAACCCGATTATTTGAGCTGTCATGTGAGTATTAGGCCCAAAAAAGCTCAACATAGGTAATTTGGTCCAAAATCTGAACAAACATATATATAGTTTGTGTGTTCTATGAACTCTAGTTCAATTTTTCCTCACCATCTCCACCAGCAGCATAAGCACGCCTGCCTCACGAGCGCTCGTGCCCCTCGCTTCCTCAGTTTGGTCTCTCTGCCACCTTTGCTCGTCCTTCTCGTAACCTCGCTCATTCTCCTCGGCATCTTTGAGACTCTGACACTTATACCTAGGTGAAGAAGAAACGTCTCCGACTGCAAAGCTGCGACCCCAAGTGTCCTTGTTTATCGAGTATGCAGTACCCGTCGGGTATCTGTTACCCGACCGATGCCCGACGGGTACGGGGATGGGTAAGAATCTATACCCGAGACAGTTAACGGGGATGTGGACGGGATGAATTCTCCGTAGCGGGGAAGAGAACGTTCTGGCAATACCCGACGGGTACATCCCCGTTGCCATCTCGGCTTGTGACCACGGAGAGGTTACTCTGCCGGTCTGCATTTCAGTTTTCATGCCGTGTAGAATCATACGGGATCATTACGTACTCCGTAAGGGTCCGTTCGGTTATGACGTTTCCGGTTCTTCCTGACCGGGAATGGTTCCGGACATGTAGAAAATAACGAAGAATCAAGGCCAGGAATCGATTCCGTATAACCGAACGTGGCCTAAATGCCTACGTAAATGGTACTACCATAAGAAGAAAAAAAACTTGGTGACCAAGATTTACATCGATCGGAATTACCAGCTCTTGAGCAAGTCCAGAGGGTAACCCGTCCCCGTGCAGTGCAGTGCAGTGCATTTGCGGCAGAGAAGGATCAGACGGAGACGGGACAGAAAAATCCCAGTTGTTGTCCCAGCGTGGGCGCGGGAGCACGGCAGAATGTTGCACGTCCGGTTCTGTGGCAGAGAGACAACTCTACGCCGGCCGTCGGGCCCAGCGATGGGCGACGGCCCCGTACGCCGCAGCAGCCTAGTATACGGGATTCCATTTGATCCGCAGACAGATACAGGCGCAGCGTCTGCAGCAGCGCCGCCGCCGCATGTGTCAGAACCGGCCGTTGCGCGAGCGGTAGGCCGGTAGGGGTGTGCTGGTCCTGCTGGGCCGACGCCCGAGCGGCGCGCGTATCCGCTGTCCGGCTGCGAAAATCGAAATGCCGAGCCTCGCGCGGGCGACGTCTCCTGACTGCGAGACTGATGAAACGTACGTCGTCTCATTCTTGTTTCATCAGTGCTTGATGGGCGTGTTAACACCCCAGTTTCCTCTGAAGAACCCGGTGCAGTAGACCGTGGGCCAAGAAGAGGCGAAAGGAACAGGAAGCCCAATAGTAGGATTTTCGGAACTGAATGGACTTAAGCACCTACGTGTGCATGTCCAGGCCCAGGCCCTGTAAGTGGCTGATACCTATAAAGTCTAGCTGAGAGCTCGTGAGGGGATGATCTCATTTTGTAAACCAGATACATTCAACTTGCCTAAGATTCCTCGTCACGCCATCCCAACTCCTCTCGTTGCTATTCGTCCAACTCGACCCCGATTTCTTCTGCCTATCCCCGATTGCTCTTCCCCAAATTCCCTGCTGCTAACAATTGGTGTCGGAGCCACCGATTCCTCGGCTAATTTCCTCTTCATTCCATCGGTTGTTTGAGCAAACGGATTCGGTTGGCTTGATTTGAATTCGAGCAGCAAGCCTGATCGAGTTCGAATCGCTGTAATTCCTATCCACGCTTGAGCAATTTGTGGTGAGGAACACTCTAGATCGGCCCGCTCCCGATCCACTACCGCACGACCATTTTACTCGCCGTCAACATCGTCTCGGCGTCATGAATCCCGACACAAAGTTGATCCTGGACGAGATGCGCAAGAGCTTCGCCGACAACGACATCAAGTTGCGCGACCAGGATGACCGCCTCAGCCGCCAGATCCAGAACTTGGAGAAGGCGCAGGAGCATCGCGTCGTGGCCCTGGAGGACGTGGCCCGCAATATGGATGAGTGGCGCACCAGCATCGACGGCACCGTCGACGGCTTACGTCTCCAAGTGAAGAAGCTTTCACTAGGCTGGGAGCGCGCGAGCATCGAGAACCCCGGCGATAAATCCGGCGTGTTCACGTCATCTCCTTCGGTGGCTCCGCGCCCATCTCATGGCAAATAATACCACATCGCCCGTCGTTGGGGCACCTATCGAGAAACAACCACCGGGCGAGTGTGGATTTGGGGATGTTTCCACCCTAATCCATTCCACAGTCAAGGGTGAGCACACCAGGTCCCAATTTCCAATTCATGGCTTCCTTTTGTCTCTCGATGTTCAATTGCACGAATTGCTTGAATCCAAAAATCCCCAAAGTAGATTTTCCAAAATTTGATGGTGAACATCCCAAGTCATGGCTGCATGATTGCGTGGATTATTTCAGTTTATACCATGTAGAGTCTAGCTCGTGGGTTCGTATTGCTCGTCTCGCATTTTGTAGGAGCTGCCAAACATTGGCACAATTGTTGAGTCTCAAACTTCAAGGCTGTAGTTGGGAGCAAAGATTATCGAACTCATTCGAGTAGGTTTGGGTTAGAACATCATGAACTCCTGTTATGGCAATTGTTCCAGATTCACCACACGAGGAGCGATGAGATGAGTACATAGAGCGGTTTCTCTTCTATTGTTGATCGCTTGGGGCTTACAATAAAACCATCGATCTATTATTTTACACAGCACGCTTTATTGATGGCTTGAAGGATCATATCAAAGCCGCTGTTCATTTGCATAGGCCACCCAATTGTGATACTGCTTGTGTACTTGCGAAATTGCAGGAGGACATGGTGGCATCCCGTAAGCCGGAGGCACGCAAGTGGGATGCTGCTACGGGTGGCCGACCGTTCACACGTACGGCACCACCTCCTCCGCCTCCTTCGCTTTTGGCTCGACAAACCGGGGCCTCGCCGAGCCCGGCACCGCTATCGATCTTGGTCGGGCATTGTCTGTTGACGAGCGTTGGGCGGCTCTGCGGTTGTCCCACCGCGCTCAAGGCCTGTACATCCGTTGCTGTGCCAAGTGGTCTCGTGATCACCGATGTGCTTAAGCTGTGTAGCTTCACGCCCTTGAAGAAGTGCTGGCAATATTCTCTGATGAAGAAGCCCCTGATGACCCTATGCAAGTGGACGATGCTGAATTGGCAGTTATTCAGGTATCCCTATCCACAACTATATTTACGTAAACTGCTCCTCGCACCATGTGTTTTGAAGGTCAATTGGGTGAACTTCCCATTCATATTCTTCTAGATTCTAGGAGTACACATTCCTTTGTTAGCTCTGCGGTGGCAGCCAAGTGCTCAGGGGTGCAGACACTATCCATCGTTGAAGGTTCATGTTGCTAATGGTCAACATGTTATCTGTTCCCAGCATTTACCTGATGCTCAGTGGGCTATTCAAGGTGTTCAGTTTCATTCTGATTTCAAGGTACTGCCATTGTCTTCTTATGACTTGATATTGGGCATGGATTGGTTATCTATACACAGCCCCATGAATGTACACTGGGCTCAACATTGGCTAGAAATTCCATATCAGCATAGCATAGTATTGTTACAAGGCCTGTGGGCAGATCTCTAAGTGGGATCAGTGCTACAGTTGAATCTGAATGAGAATACAGAGCTAGATGTAGTTTCTGAATGGTCTGCTGACATACAAGATTTGGTCAAGCACTATGCCACATTATTTGACCCTCCAACTAAATTGCCACCACCTCGAAGCTGTGATCATGCTATCCCTCTCTTACCAGGGGCTAGTCTTGTGTTCACTAGACCTTACAGATTTTCACCCGCCATCAAAGATGAAATTGAGAAACAGGTCCATGAAATGTTGCAATCTGGTTTGATACAGAAAAGTTCTAGTCCATTCTCCTCTCCTGTACTCTTGGTGAAAAAGAAAGACAAGGCATGGCGATTTTGTGTTGACTACCGCCAACTTAATGCCATCACACTCAAGGGCAAA